CACCCAAAAGGGGGGGGGCGGAAAATGAACCATCAACAAAACCGGTGATTGGAAAAATTGGGTTGTCCCTGCCCAAAAGGACTAATAATAGCTTTGGTTAATGTAAACATGTGTGTGCCTGTAAACGTAATAGATAAGATAGACAAATAGGCAGATAGATAATCGATGTGCGTGTCGGGAACGAGGGAGTACTCAAAGGTACAAATATGATTATCTTAATATTATCTCAGTCTATCAGCCTACACACATACACACAAATACACGTGTGCGTAAGCAAATGATATATGCGTTTTTTTTTTTTGTTTTTTTTTTTTTTTTTTTTTTTTTTTTTTTTTTTTGAAATAGTGTTTTTTAATCAGAACAATGAAAGCACTGTCAGATGCATAACATCAATAACAATACCCAGAAACACGCGTGTGTGTAAGCAAATGATATATGCGTGCATGATTTAGTTTTTGTTTTTTTGTTTTGTTTTGTTTTGGAAATAGTGCTTTCTAATCAGAACAATGAAAGCACTGTCAGATGCATAACATCAATAACAATACCCAGAGGTAATTTATGGAGGCAAAGTATCCTGGAATATCCGTTTGGAAAATATTCCGCCAACAATAGCCCCATCACGCAATTCTTCGCAAACTCTTTATTGCTTCTACGAGACGCATCTCCAGGGTTTTATAGATCTTGCAAAAATATTGGTAAACGATTGCAATCATGTGCAAGAGATTCCGGGAAGGCTGGGCAGAGGGAGACAAAGGAGTCCGACTTTCTCCTAATTTAGAATTCCTTTCCTATAAAGTTAGACATTGTTTCACCGGAGAGGTAATACCACTTTTTATTATTATTATTATTATTATTATTATTTCTTTTTTTTGTCTGTCTGTCTGTATCTGTTTGGTGTCTGTCTGTGTCTGCCTGTCTTCATTTTTTCTAGCTCCCTCTCCTTATCTTGGTCTTTCTCGTTCTCTCCCTCTCTGTCTTTTTTCTCTTTTTTCTCTCTACCCCTCTCTCTCTCTTACGTTCTCTCTCTCTCTCTCTCTCTTTCTCTCTCTCCTCCCTCTCCCTCTCCCATCTCTCTCTCTCTCTCCTCTCTCTCTCCTCTCCCTCTCTCTCTCTCTCTCTCTCTCTCTCTCTCTCTCTCTCTCTCTCTCTCTCTCTCTCTCTCCTCTCCTCCCTCTCCCTCTCTCTCTCCCATGAGAAAAAAATAACGAGTGTGTTTCCTGAGAGATGCAGTAGAGTCGAAGCGCTGCATTTTATAGCTTTTAGTTTTATTGCAAGAGGAAGTGCGCTCCTAAGAGTTTCTGTTGCATTCCCAACACTACAGTCTCTTTAAAGCTTTTACAAGTGCTTAAATGACTCTTAAATGACTTAATGTTGCATTCCCAACACTACAGTCTCTTTAAAGCTTTTACAAGTGCTTAAATGACTCTTGTGAGCAACACGAACACTCGCGTTGTTCTAATGTGTAGACATTCCGTTCCCGACGAAGTGTAGGAATTCACACGTTCACCAAGAGTAAAGTGTCTCTCCAATCCGCGTCAAGTGTCATACGAACTGTATGCGTGTCATATGCACTGCCATCCATCAGGACTTGACAGCGATGTGGTTGTCTCTCTCTTCTGGTGCACCGTCCTGTCTGTAAGGGATTTTTTTCACAATGATAGGTGTTCTCTCGGTTTCTCCTGGAAAGTCCTACATTAGAAGAACTACATTATTATTAGATTTTTAGAATTTACACAATTAGATATTAATTAGAATTACAATTAAGATATTAATTAGAATTAAATTAGATAAATTAGAATTACAATTAGATATTAGATAATAGAATTAGAATTACATCCTACATACCTGTCTCTGATATGATGTTGTCACACATTTAAAGGAAATCTTCCAGTTCTTTTGAAGAGCACTTCTGGGAGCCAGGAACTCCATAGTGTCGTAGGTGGCCGGCGATGTGTGCAGTTTGGAGGTGTGTGGCGCTGCTTGTGGGAGAAGGAAAAGTCTAGTTGTGCTTCAGCCACCTCTCATCCCCTCTTACATTCACTCACTCTCACTCTCTCTCTCTCTCTCTCTCTCTCTCTCTCTCTCTCTCTCTCTCTCTCTCTCTCTCTCTCTCTCTCTCTCTCTCTCTCTCTCTCTCTCTCTCTCACACTCACTCACTCTCTCTAGTTGAGAATCAGCTTCCTACATAATACCAGGTATTATGCCTCCCGAGACATTTTACATTCATTTTTCAAATCTAGTTGCTTCCAATCACACTTCGTTGCCTCATATGTGGCTAATGATGCTATGATTGGATCACCTTCAGTTGGCCAGGCGGTGGCCATACTTTTGGCCCCTTTTAAAGCCCAAAAGTGACTGGCATTTTGGGCCTGAGGGTGTGGGAGCCTCACTTTGGAAAGTCAAGGGAACTAATCAGGGTTACCTTGAGAGTGACCAGGGAGCTTCCAGAACTTGGAGATGTAAAGTGATCGCATTCAGACCATAGAAAACTGTAAATAACATTTTATAACAAATAGCAGATGTTGTCTTTCATGTAGATATCGGTATATATATACATACATACTCATATATATATATATATATATATATATATATATATATATAATATATATATATATATATATATATATATATATATATATATTACAAAGTACATATATAAATATATATGTTCATATATACACAAATACATATGTAATATATATAGAATATATATATATATATATATATATATATATATATATATATATATATATATATATATATATATATATATATATATGTATGTATATGTATATACGTGACACACAACACACACACACACACACACACACACACACACACACACACACACACACACACACACACACACACACACACACACACACACACACACACACACACATATATATTCATATACATATATATATATATATATATATATATATATATATATATATATATATATATATATATATATATATATATATATATATAAGAGAGAGAGAGAGAGATGACGCATGCATTCACTCATGCCTCACCACTCTAAAGTTGTTTGCGTTTTGTTCGGATGTGCGGAAAAGACTTAAACAAATCGAAGACGCTATTTGTTTTCACAAGAAATTTATATATGGAGAAAATAAAGCCACATGAAATATTCTTCAATGTTCGCAACATGGTCTTTCATAAATTACCAATCTATGGTTTCGCTCATCATTACCATACCAATACCATTATAGTATGGTGTGGCTGCAGCGCCGAAGAAACCATAATAACTGCATATGTTGTGTCAGTGTGACTTCGGCTTCATATTTTGAACATTAAAA